CAGCGGGGACAAGGGCGCCTGCGGAGGAGGGGCCCCGGCAGGTGGGCGTCAGGCGGACGTCCGGGCGCCGGCTCCGCGCCATGGGCCTTCCGCCAGCCCCTGCAGCCCCACTGTAAGGGAAGCAGAGGCCCGGCCCAGGAGATGGAGCGATTAGCAGGCGGCTGCGTGCAGAGATAGGCCCGGCCGTGGTCAGCAGCCCAGGCGTGGGCGGCCAGGTGTCCCCTGCAGATAGCCAGGGTCCCCCAGACCCACAGACCCGCGGACGGGGGCGGGGCCCCCACGCCCATGGCCGGCCGGGAGCTGCCCCTCGGCCCCTCGCCCCCTCCTCAGAGGCGGCACCTCGGGGTGGGGGGGCGCAGCCCACTTACCGCGTCCTCCCGGCCCCGGGGCCTCTCCCAGGCCGGGCACCGTCTCCCAGGCAACTGCAAGGAAACAGAAGATGAGGCGCCGCCCCGGTGCCCACCTGGACGTCACCCAGAGCCCCCGCGCACTCTGGGCTGAGGGCTGGGCCCCCATGGCCTCGGGGCGAGTGGGCGGGGCTCTGCGGCCCCAGCCCCCCGCCTGCCCCGCCTCCGGCCCGAGCCCGGAGCCCCCAGCCTGGCGTCTCAGCCACCCCCCAGGGGCCCCTCTACCGGGTGCTGGGCTGTGCTCTGTCCCTCGTGGGCAGCGCCGGGCGCCCCAGCCAGGGCCACGTCCTCCAGCGGGGGGCTCAGTGGGACCCGGGTCTGGGGTACAGGCCCGGCGCCCCTGCAACCCAGCCAGGGCCCACCCACTGGCTGCCACAGCTCGCCTGGGGCGTGGGGGCTGCCCTTGCCGGCGGGGAGGACTCAGCTGGGGCCCAGCCCACCCCGGGGCCGCACCCCCAGGCCGCGCGCGTCACAGCCCCAGCCCAGCGGGCCTAGGGACCCCCAGAGGAGCAGGCCCCGCCCTGCCCCCACAGCCCCCACAGCAGAGCGGGCGCCCCTCCGGCCCCACGTCCCCTCGGGACCCACCTGAACCCCCGCTGGAGACGGTTCCCCATCCTCGCGTGCTCTGTCCGCCCCTCGGCTCTGTGCTGCCCGGCTGCCCCGGGCTGGACGCAGGATGTCGCTCTGACCACGGCCGGGAGCTGCGACCGCAGCCTGCCAGGGGGGCAGGGCGGGCGGGTGCTGCTGTCTGTGCAAGTGGGGGTGTGGGGGGC